CTTTTCTTTCTTTTTTTTGATCAGATATAAAAGTTATTGGTGAACCCATGAAGCCAACAGTTTCCTCAGCAGCTGTTGCCATTGGCAATGATATTTACATCATGGGTGGATTTAATGGGATTACCCATGGTACTCTGGTCCAATTAACTTTACCTGATGACCTTTGCACTCTGCACTCTACTACGATTGGCTGTTTACAATCTCATGGATGTTCAGCATGTGTGAGTTCTAATACAACAGCTTGTTTTTCAAATGCTCTCAGCCAACCTCCAAGGTAAGTTTAGGTACCACAAGTAGCGCCCTCTAGTGATGTAAATGGATGAAAGAAAGGCCTTTCACAGCATTGAACTTATGGTATAGAGCAATTCAACAAAGTATCATTTCTTTAAGAGATATTATAAACCACATACAGTTGTTGATTTGACTGACATTGACTATATCCATGTGCTTCATTTTCACATTGCATCACTAGAGGGCAGTACTTAAAGAAAGAGTGTGTAAGATGATAAAATGAAATAAAATTAAAAAAAATCATAATAGTTCATGAATTACTCAAAATTTACTCTGAAAAACTTTTGCATGAGATAAATGACTTTTGTTAGTCAATGAAAATTTTAAATTTCATGGCAGGAAAAATTTGATTTATTACATAAATAATATAAAATACAAGATATAAAATATAATGCCATTGACAGTATTGTGCATAGCAACCAATTCAAGATGGCTGCTACTGGTGTGCTTTCAATTCAACACACCAATTAGACAAAAAAAGTTGAGTACAGTTGAGAGCTTAAGTCAAGAATAGAAATATTCATGTTTCTGGTCATTGCACAAATAGGTTAAAAATGTGTGCACCATATATTCTTTGTTTTTGTCAAAATTTTGAAAAATGAACTAAAAATGTGTTTTCCTTCCATGTGACATATTCTGGACAGTGACAAGTACATAAATTACACTTGACTGCACAATATTATATTCAAAGTGTTCTTTATATATTTGTTTCAGTTGTGAAGATGAAATTGCTGGAGTTTATTGCAACAGAGAAACCATAGAGAACCGTGAATGTGAAATGTTATCAACATGTAGTGAATGTCTGTCTCCATATCCAGTATATCCAGATGCAGATCTTGTAAGCATTTCCCAGATTTTTCTTGAATAAACAGTGTTCTATAAAGAACACTGTCTTCAGTAAAAATTTGAGTCTTCTAAACCTTTCAAAATTGCAGTATATTGACAAAATGTTGTGGAAATCAATGTTTTCTCTTACTGCCTGAGTAGGATACTTTGCAGTATCCTTTAGATAGCCGCAGTCATTAGAATGCTCTCAAAGTGGTTTCCATACATCATATACATGTACAATGTATGTAACATTATTTGTATAAGATAATTTTAATCTGCGTGCACATGTAGTGTTTGCGTGATCATCTACAGTGACATGCCATTGTCAGTTACATGACTTATCATTGTGTCTTATTGCAGCAATGTCAGTGGTGTTACAGCTGTCCTGTTGGTAGATGTATTGACAAAGACTTATCATGTCAAATAGAACACAACTGTGATAAAGACCAACAAGCATTAAAAAACATTGAAAGTTGTCCTGAGTTGATATGTGAGGCATCAGACTGTAATAAATGCATCTCAATATCTGCATGTATGTGGACTAGACAGATAAAGAAAGAAGGTGAGATTTGATTGGTGGTTTATTGTGTAAGCCTCTTCATGATTAGTTAATAACTTTTGAATGATTCTGAAGATATCACTGTTACTGAATAGCCATGAATGCCGCAGCCATTGGTTTGTTTTTTACTATATTTAATAATTGCCTTATTTCTTTATTGTGTTGTTGATAGGTGAAACCCGAAGCACAGCCCACGAATATCCAATCTATGACTGGAGTTGTTTTAGTAGTACTTTAAGAGATCTCTCATCTTTTGATATTGACTCAGTACCACCATCACAATGTCCAGTATTATGCCATGAACACTCTACCTGTTATAAGTGTCTAAGTTCTAAAGGAGCTGACGGAGGTTGGCAGGAATGTGTCTGGAGTGAAGGCTTACAGCAGGTCAGTAATATGGCATTTACCGTTGTTACATCAAATAATTTTTAAATGTCAAAATACAGATCATTCAGGGATACCCTTACTTTATCGAAATTTAACATCTTGAAATGTGTATAGCATATATTAAGCACTGTCAATTTCCATGTGACTTTTTTAGCTCCACTGTTGACTTTGTCGTGGAGCTTATCATATGAGTGATTGTCCGGTGTCGTCCGTCGTCATCCGTGTCAACTTTTTACTATTTCGTCTTCTTCTTGAAAACTACAATTCTTATTGCTTTGATACTTGGTGTATATGTACCTTAGATTTGATATTACATATATAGGTACTACATGTGGTCCTCTTTCAGATTTGTTCATTTCGTGATGATATCTTTAATTATCTAATTTAAATGAATATATTTGTCATTTTTGGTATAAAGTGATTTCGACTTCTCATTAATAAAAACTGTAAGTCTGATTGCTTTTATGTTATACATATAGGTACCTAAGGTAGACCTCTCTCAGATTTGTTCATTTTGTGATGATATCTTCAATTCTCCAATTTTGATGAATATTTTTCTTGTTGAATACAGCAAGTCCAATTGCTTTGATACTATACATATTGTTCATTTTCTAATGATATCTTTAGTTCTTTAATTGAAATGTGCATTGCTAACAGCGGAGCAATCTCAGCCGACAGGCTGCTTCTTTTTTGTGTTCTGTGTTTGATTTCATGTATAATGTGGGATCTCAGAGTGAACGGAAAATGGTCTATTATCTACTTGTGTTGTTTAGTTAGTTTATTATTAATTAGATTACTATCTAAAGCACAACAATGGTTTAAAAAAAACAAAAAAAAATACAATTACAAAAAAACTATTGATATATGTAGGTAATAATATTGAAAAAAAATAAGCAATCAACTATCACTGTATTGACTGTATTGACTGTACAATGTTTGTTTTACAGTGCATGTCACCAACCTATATACAGTTACAATGTGTCAATGGTATATGTGAACATGTGGTTCGATACACAGTAGATGGATGTCCTACACCATGCAGTTTAAACACAATGTGTTCTACATGCTTAAATCAACCAGGATGTGGTTGGTGTTCTTTTGCCGGTGAAAATGGTGTTGGTGTATGTATGGCTGGAGGCATACATGGGCCAGCTGAAGGTGGTGTCTGTACAGCACAGAATGTCTCACTAAGGGTTGATCCACTGCCAGGTAAGCTGTAGGGGGTATTGGGGGGATGGAAGGTAGAAGCCTAGTCATAATTTTTGACAAAATTGGTCATAAATCACATAACAATGTTCATTAGTTTATTATGTACAATCATGAAGCTAATGTCCCATGGTACAATGAAATAGCATTATTTTGTGTGTTACAGTTATACTTTTTGAGAAACGTGTTCCAATATTTCTTAAAAATTGCTATTTTTAAAACAATTCCATAAAACATAATGTTAAAGAAAAATTGCATTTTTTGACACTTTTTAAAACCCAGATTTTTTTAATAATTCAGAACAACAAAAGACACTCCATTATTAACAATATATAATTTTTTCAGCCTATGTCACCAGTCAAGATTTTGAGATATTGCATAATATCTCTGCCATAGGAACCTGTGGTAAAAGTGTTATAATAGTGTCAAAATGGCGACTTTCCACTAAAATACAACCATCAATTTCTCGAAAATAAGGCTGGTGACTCCCAACTTTTTTTACGTCAATATACTTAGATTGCCTTGGAGTACAATTTATTGCAAAATGAATAAATTCTGGGTTTTTTTAGTTTATGAGTAGACTTCTACCTTAAGACGATCTCACTTTTTAGCTCTGCTGTCGACTTTGTCGAGCGGAGCTTATCATATGAGTGATTGTCCGTCGGCGTCCGGCGTCCGTGACAATGTTTTACTTTTTCGACTTCTTCTTGAAAACTACAAGCCTGAATGCTTTGATACTTGGTGTATATGTACCTTGGGTAGACCTCTCTCAGATTTGTTCATTTCATGATCATATCTTCAATTCTCTAATTTTGGTGAATATTTTTGTCATTTTTGGTAAAAAGTGATATTTTCGACTTCTTGTTAAAAACCGCAAGTCCAATTGCTTTGATATTACATATATAGGTACTACATGTGGACCTCTCTCAGATTTGTTCATTTTGTAATGATATCTTCAATTCTCTAATTTTGGTGAATATTTTTGTCATTTTTGGTAAAAAGTGATATTTTCAACTTCTTGTTAAAAACCGCAAGTCCAATTGCTTTGATATTACATATATAGGTACTACATGTGGACCACTCTCAAATTTGTTCATTTCATGATGATATCTTCAATTCTCTATTAATTTTGGTGAATATTTTTGTCATTTTTGGTAAAAAGTGATATTTTCAACTTCTTGTTAAAAACCACAAGTCCAATTGCTTTGATATTACATATATAGGTACTACATGTGGACCACTCTCAAATTTGTTCATTTCATGATGATATCTTTAATTCTCTAATTTTGGTGAATATTTTTGTCATTTTTGGTAAAAAGTGATATTTTTGACTTCTTGTTAAAAACCACAAGTCCAATTGCTTTGATATTACATATATAGGTACTACATGTGGACCACTCTCAAATTTGTTCATTTCATGATGATATCTTCAATTTTCTAATTTTGGTGAATATTTTTGTCATTTTTGGTAAAAAGTGATATTTTCAACTTCTTGTTAAAAACCGCAAGTCCAATTGCTTTGATATTACATATATAGGTACTACATGTGGACCACTCTCAAATTTGTTCATTTCATGATGATATCTTCAATTCTCTAATTTTGGTGAATATTTTTGTCATTTTTGGTAAAAAGTGATATTTTCTTCTTGTTAAAAACCACAATCATTTATGGTGAAAAATGATATTTTTGAATTCTTGTTGAAAACAGCAAGTCCCATTGCATTGATACTATGCATATTGTTCATTTTCTAATGATATCTTCTGTTCTTTAATTGAAATGTGCATTGCTAACAGCGGAGCTATCTCAGCCGAGAGGCTGCTTGTTGTAAAACCAGATGTGTACTTCATATATTGTGTTTGGCAATTCAATTTTCAGGTTTTATTAGTTGTTGTATTTTTTTTTCATTCAGCTGAAATTGCAAACTATACCCTTGATCTAAATGGTCCTCCTGTTTGGTCGTTCGGAGGATGTCCACCAGAGAATGAATGTCGTAATGGTCATCATAACTGCGCACAGACTGAGAAATGTAATGATACATTAGAATCATATCAATGTGACTGTAAAGAAGGATATGAGAGAGACAGGTTAGTAATTGGATGGTGACCTGTGGAAGGAAACCATTTAAAAACAAATCATGTCGTTTTCCCATCAAAATCCATGCCAAAGGATTGTACAACAACATTGGCAAATATCTTCCGTGCTATGTTCAATAACATTAACATATTTAAATGAGCTATGGTAGTTTGAACACGTTGGCATCATCCATCATTTTCATTGGTTAATTTTACCTGTCAGGTCAAAGAACCCCGTCCAGATCAAAACATGGCGAATATTCATTTCTACAGCAAGATTCTACAAATTTTAGATTAGCTTCTGCAGTAGTTTCTTTTGTTTTGGGTGGTCCAACTGCTGGCGTAGGTGGATTTTTCAATGAAAATATAAGCCCCCCCCCAATATTTGATGATAATATTTTTAAATTTTGATCCCCAAATAAGGGCCCACCAGCTGTGAAACTGCCCAGCATGATTATTTGGATGGGCGAATTTACGACAGAATCTGGTAGGAGTTGCAATTCCGATGTCATGATATAATCTTGAGAGAGTCTGTTGATTATATGTCAAGTAATGAATGTGCATTCATTAATAGGTCTTCAGGTGTGTGTAAGCCAGTCTGTACTCAAGGTTGCTTCAATGGACAGTGTGTTCAACCTAATGTCTGTGATTGCTACTTTGGATATGTCGGAGGCAATTGTTCCATTGAGTGTGAATGTAATGGACATTCCAACTGTGAAAGTATTGAATCCAGACATAAATGTATACATTGTTACAACAACACACAGGTTAGTTACATGAATGTATACATTGTTACAACAACACACAGGTTAGTTACATGAATGTATACATTGTTACAACAACACACAGGTTAGTTACATGAATGTATACATTGTTACAACAACACACAGGTTAGTTACATAAATGTATACATTGTTACAACAACACACAGGTTAGTTACATGAATGTATACATTGTTACAACACACAGGTTAGTTACATAAATGTATACATTGTTACAACAACACGCAGGTTAGTTACATAAATGTATACATTGTTACAACAACACGCATGTTAGTTACATGAATGTATACATTGTTACAACAACACACAGGTTAGTTACATGAATGTATACATTGTTACAACAACACACAGGTTAGTTACATGAATGTATACATTGTTACAACAACACACAGGTTAGTTACATGAATGTATACATTGTTACAACAACACACAGGTTAGTTACATGAATGTATACATTGTTACAACACGGTTAGTTACATGAATGTATACATTGTTACAACAATACACAGGTTAGTTACATAAATGTATACATTGTTACAACAACACACAGATTAGTTACATGAATGTATACATTGTTACAACAACACACAGGTTAGTTACATGAATGTATACATTGTTACAACAACACACAGGTTAGGTATGTGAATTAACACATGTTTATCTATTTAATTTTTAGGGTGATCATTGTGAGGAATGTCTTCCGTTTTATGTTGGTAATCCCGAAAATAACGGCACATGTCAGCCGTGCAGAGCATACTGTAATGGTAACTCCGATATTTGTATGAGTATAACAGACTACAATCTAACAATGCAAAAATATAACATGCTGCAAGAATCTAAGATTACGCAATCACAGGTGAGTATTTTGAGACTTGCACACCCAGATCAAAATAGCAGTATATGATCCAAGTCAATAGATGTCTGCATGACCCAGGTCATATAATATTAGCATGATGAAAATCAAATAAATCCAACATGACTCAGGTTAACATTATGTTATAATAATATGCACAAAGGCAGGCAGTACATTGTTTGTGTTGGCTGACATGTAATGGAGGTTGATGTGATCTCTTACTGCCTGAGAGAATACTTTGCGGTATTCTTTATTATTAAACATTCTTATTGCTTTTAGTCATAATTTAGTGCAACCTGAAATGCAAATGTTTTAGGAGATTTTTGTCTTCACAGTTATTTGATTTTAGTCACAGGATTCTATTTCCCTATTTCCACTTTCTGTATTGTCCAATGTAAGCAAAGAATGGTGTTTGAATGCCACTATTTCACTAATGCACTTTTTCAAAATAAAGTAGGTTTGTTTTTATTTTTGCCTCTAGATGTATAATAATATGAGGTTATTACGAGGATACCTCAAAACTTATGCACAAAGACAGTACAGCGAGAGTATCGACCAACGTGCAGCAGAGGTTGATGCAACGGTGTACTGTCTGAGTGCATACTTTGAGGTATCCTCACAATAACCTTATTATTATACATCTTTTCCTTCCAAAGATACATCATGGGAATGCCGAAATCCAAAAAGTTTAGAACAGAATCAGCGAACTTCTTTGTGTGGAGTCAGGTCAAACCCTGGTAGCAGCCATGTTTGTTTTTATTATTAGAGGAAGTTTACGCACGTAATCATTCCATAATTGAAATTTACATTTCTTTATATGGTAGAATGAAAATGCCTCGTAAAATACTGCAAAATTACATATAATATATATGTATAATAATATCAGATATGACCTGGATCAAATATTGATAGCATGTTCCATTAACATAATCATGACCTTATGCTGTTGTTGTATCTGGGGATAATAATTACATAATGTAATACATGTGTTATTAATTCTCTAGGCCAATGAATTTGTTTCATCTGGAGCTATAAGTAATGCAATATGTATTGGATGTGAAAATAACAGCGAAGGAGATCAGTGTGAAACGTGTATTGATGGATTCTTTAAGATGGATGGACAGTGTATTCCGTGAGTACCAACTTGATGATGAACTTGTGTCTCCAATTATCAAAATTTGTGTCTCCAATTATCAAAATTTGTGTCTCCAATTATCAAAATTTGTGTCTCCAATCTCCAAATATCAAAATTTGTGTCTCCAAATATCAAAATTTGTGTCTCCAATTATCAAAATTTGTGTCTCCAATTATCAAAATTTGTGTCTTCAAATATCAAAATTTGTGTCTCCAATTATCAAAATTCGTGTCTCCAAATATCAAAATTTGTGTCTCCAATTATCAAAATTCGTGTCTCCAAATATCAAAATTTGTGTCTCCAATTATCAAAATTCGTGTCTCCAAATATCAAAATTTGTGTCTCCAAATATCAAAATTTGTGTCTCCAATTATCAAAATTTGTGTCTCCAATTATCAAAATTTGTGTCTCCAAATATCAAAATTTGTGTCTCCAATTATCAAAATTTGTGTCTCCAATTATCAAAATTTGTGTCTCCAAATATCAAAATTTGTGTCTTCAAATATCAAAATTTGTGTCTCCAATTATCAAAATTTGTGTCTCTAATTATCAAAATTTGTGTCTCCAATTATCAAAATTTGTGTCTCCAATTATCAAAATTTGTGTCTTCAAATATCAAAATTTGTGTCTCCAATTATCAAAATTTGTGTCTCCAATTATCAAAATTTGTGTCTCCAATTATCAAAATTTGTGTCTCCAATTATCAAAATTTACATCAGTGGTGTTTTGTGTGAACAATTATTGTCCTCCATAGCAAATATACAGGCGATACAGTATTCTCTAAAGAGTCAGCGAGGTATTGTGAGGCTCGAAAATCGTTACTCTGCGCCATTGGAATGCGCTGACGCATTTCACAAAATGAGCATTGTGCCATCATTGTGCCCCCCTCATTCTGCGCCATCAAGACAATTCATACTGTGCCCTAATCTGTGTTCAAAATGAAGTTAGGACAATGATATTCAAGCCTGTTAATCAGCGCAATAGGGATGTTATTTTCACATGAAATACTATTATATAACATTTGTAGGGACATCAAAACTTCATCAACATTTTCTATGATTTCATTTTTAAAAGCTTGAACCCAGAATGATGGTGCAACTAGGGGGGACACACAATGCTCATTTTTGGAATTGCGCTGGCGCATTCCGGTGGTGCAGAGTACCGATTTTGATCCCCACACATACTTCAGTCAGCTTTCTGTTTGCCAGTAATGAACTACAGTAACTGTAAAACATGTCAGAACTGATTCGCTAATTCGAGATGTCGCTAATGACTTCATTCTAAATTCAAAATGGCAAATGCTTGGGGATTTGTGTACAGTAATCCGGAGCATAAAAATCTGGGGTGCTTCCTAGTTACACTTGACAGTTTTTCTTTGTTTTTATGGAGGTGATAACTACGCATTTGTTTTGGCAGGCGACAGACAAGAATTGTGAAAACAGGAAATCAACAATGACAAAAGAGATTCGCTAAATCAACATTTCGCTATTACATCATTTTACCACAATTCGCTAAAATTGCATGTCACTTTTTCAAAATGTCCTATCCATATCTCAGATATACTGTTACATATTTATTTTAAAACCAAATTGTAGGTGTGAGTGTAATGGTCACTGGGACTGGTGTGATAAAGAAACAGGACTAGAATGCCAATGTGACAATCACACAGAGACTGTGTGCACAGGAGACAATAATGAACCTTGCTGGAAAAGACAATGTGCCTCGTGTAAAGAACTTTATATTGGGGAACCCACCAATAGTCATCAGTGTTATCGACAAATGCAGTATAACAATGTATATTGCTTTGCAACAACTCAATCAGGTATTTATGTGTGTCAACTGATAAACTAAACTATGCAGTTGGTTGAAATATGATCTAGTCTGCCCTCTGCAGGTGACGTAGGTTTTAGTCTTCAATATTCAGATGAAATATTTTTGCTGGTTCCCGGCGTCCTTTGCAAACGGCAAGTAGGACGCAGGTAACTAGTAATCGCCATATTGTTCCACTGGACCGGGATTCCGGTCCAAAGGCACGTGACTAAGTGATGTAATTTGAAAACATTCCAAGTTCCGTTCTGTGTAAAGGTTTGTGTAATACTGCAATAAAGCCATATGCCAATTCACTCTGCCATCTTAGACCTATTTGAGATGGTTCTGGTATAATTTCTCCCTATTTGTGTAACAAAAGAAACAGTTTTATATTCACGAAAGTAAAAGGAAAACCCTGCTTTATATATAGAACAAACACGAGTGTAAGCGCTGATGTCAGGTAACCAAGGGAAATAGAACAAAAAATGAAAACTTGACTGACCAATCAGAATGCCGAGACCATTACTAATTACCTGCATCTTGTTGCTTGGTGCGCCTTGACACTTGAAGCAGAAATCATCCAAATGAAATGTAATCAAGTCTGTCTTGTGCAGGTGACAGAGCCACTTTATGAGCCACTTCATACATGTTATATAATGTTGTGTTTTTTATTTCAGAGTGTGATACAGCAACACCCCCTAAGCCTCTTCCAGGAGGCAAGAGTGTTTTCTTTGCTATCCAACCGAAGTACACAAATGTTGATATACGTCTTCTTATTGACGTGACTGTTGGTGCACTTGATGTCTATTTATCTTATTCGGAAGACACGTGGGTTGTAACTCCCGACCCCAACAATGGAAGACATATTATAAACATTGATGATAAACAATATTGGGAACACAGTCGTCGTCGACGTGATGAAGACCATCGTTATGCTAGGGAGACACAAACCACGGATGCAATCACCGCTCCACCCACACAGCAAAGCATTGTGAATGACTTACTTGAAATCTACGCTGATGGGTTGAATACATTTGTGACGATCCACAACCCGTTTACGTTTCTTATTGTGTATAGTTTGAGGAATAGATTAGTGGTTACATTTCCACATGTTCCACACGAGCTGGAGACTCGTAAATTCTACATTGTGTTACTCAGCAAGGAGGAATTCAGTCAAAATGAGACTCATGGAATCCTAACTTTCCGACAAGATCAGCCACACATTGACTTGTTTGTTTTTTTCTCTGTTTTCTTTTCTTGTTTCTTCCTTTTCCTTGCACTCTGCGTCATTATTTGGAAAGTTAAACTGTTTTTTGACAGTCGCCGTGATCGCAGAAGGCGTGCAGTTGAAATGGAAAATATGGCTAGTAGGCCATTTTCAAAAGTACTTGTTTTTATTGATCCAGTGAAGTCGGCCATTTCACCTATAATACCACCTAGGAGGCCCAATAATAGACTCCCTAAGTTATCCAGGAGAGGTCATGACTCATTAACAAGACCAAAGAGCCCTCCACCAGAGGTGTGTAAAATATCTTTTGTTGTTTACCTAAGAAAACACTTTTTAACTTTCTTTTCATATTCTGAATTTTCCCAACATTACTGACTGCACAAATCACATGGCCACATTTATAGATGAGATTCCTACACAAATACTGATGACATCACATTGCCACAATTACTGATGGCATCCCAACACAAATACTGATGATATCACACTGCCACAATTACTGATGACATCCCAACACAAATACTGATGACATCACATTGCCACAATTACTGATGACATTCCTACACAAATACTGATGATATCACATTGCCACATTTACTGATGACATCCCTACACAAATACTGATGATATCACACTGCCACATTTACTGATGACATCCCTACACAAATACTGATGATATCACACTGCCACATTTACTGATGACATCCCTACACAAATACTGATGATATCCCTACACAAATACTGATGTCACACTGCCACATATACTGATGGCATCCCTACACAAATACTGATGATATCACACTGCCACATTTACTGATTACATCCCTACACAAATACTGATGATATCACATTGCCACATTTACTGATGACATCCCTACACAAATACTGATGATGTCACTCTGCCACATTTACTGATGACATCCCTACATAAATACTGATGATATCACACTGCCACATTTACTGATGACATCCCTACATAAATACTGATGATATCACACTGCCACATTTACTGATGACATCCCTACACAAATACTGATGTCACTCTGCCACATTTACTGATGACATCCTTACATAAATACTGATGATATCACACTGCCACATTTACTGATGACATCCCTACACAAATACTGATGATGTCACTCTGCCACATTTACTGATGACATCCCTACATAAATACTGATGATATCACACTGCCACATTTACTGATGACATCCCTACATAAATACTGATGACATCCCTACATAAATACTGATGATGTCACTCTGCCACATTTACTGATGACATCCTTACATAAATACTGATGATATCACACTGCCACATTTACTGATGACATCCCAACATAAATACCGTACTGATGACATCCCTACACAAATACTGATGATATCACACTGCCACATTTACTGATGACATCCCTACACAAATACTGATGATGTCACTCTGCCACATTTACTGATGACATCCCTACATAAATACTGATGATATCACACTGCCACATTTACTGACGACATCTCTATACAAATACTGATGATATCACACTGCCACATTTACTGATGACATCCCTACATAAATACTGATGACATCCCTACATAAATACTGATGATATCCCTACACAAATACTGATGATATCCCTACACAAATACTGATGATGTCACACTGCCACATTTACTGATGACATCCCTACACAAATACTGATGATGTCACTCTGCCACATTTACTGATGACACCCCTACACAAATACTGATATCACACTGCCACATTTACTGATGACATCCCTACACAAATACTGATGATATCACACTGCTACATTTACTGATGACATCCCTACACAAATACTGATATCACACTGCCACATTTACTGATGATATCCCTACACAAATACTGATGATGTCACTCTGCCACATTTACTGATTACATCCCTACACAAATACTGATGATGTCACTCTGCCACATTTACTGATGACACCCCTACACAAATACTGATGATATCACACTGCCACATTTACTGATGATATCACACTGCCACAGTTTTGTGGAATACTACATTCCATTGTTTTATGGGATGCTACATTCTATTATTTTAAGGAATGATACATTCTATTTTTTTTATGGAATACTACATTTCATTGTTTTATGAAATTCTACATTCAATTGTTTTGTGGAATGCTACATTCTATTGTTTTCAGTGCCAGATGGGTTATAATGTAATAACAACAATAATTTCATATTTATTTATTTTAATTCACAGGAGGCGTTTAAAATATATCCACTAGCAGCGGAGCCGACTGATGATGGCATATCGGCAGTAACTACTGTTATGTTCTGCCTTCCTGGTGGTAGCACTGCTCCAGTACGGGGCTGCTTGGGGTCCTCACTAGTGATACTACGCTCACCTAATCGCATGACTGAAACACGACCACCACCACGGCCGAAACCAAGCATGCATATGAGGATGCAGCCTCCCAGGGTTCCCGTGCATGTGTAGTAATAGTTTTCAGTCTGTATCACCCTTTGAACGTCTCGTTAATTTTGCCACCATTCATAAAAATCTGTATAATTTGAGCAAAAACTGTAGCCAACAGAAAATTATGTCTATTTAGCTCAAAATAACAAAAAATTTACAAATTAGCAATCATTTTTGTTGAAAAATGCAGACATTCAGAGGGTCATATTAGATGAGCCGAGTACCACCAAGTATCAAAAAAACATGGTGCTTTTCCGTCATACAACATTATTTTCATTAAAGTTTCTACGCTGGGTCCTGCATGTTCATTTTTGGTAAAAAAAAAATTGTGAAAAGTGAAAAATAAAAACTCTTCTTATTTTTAGTAGTTTTTTTGGTAGGGTCAAGACAGACATTGTTGCAATGGCCAAAATATGTTAAAGTACATTTGGAATACATTTTTGAATAAAAACTCTGTTTCCTACCAAAATGGCTAGGCAAATACGATATTGTTTACAGATTCAATCATAGGTTGCAAACACTGATCTGTATTAGTTGCTATGGAAACAACTGGACTATTTTGGGGAAGGTTACAAGAAGGGGTTGAAAAACTATATTACAAATCTTGATCAAATTGAACACCAATTGTTAATTATTGTATACTAACCTGTTTATGCAGAATGGATTGGACAAGAATATTCAGTTTAGGGTCCTGGGATATTGTACATAATTTTAAGCATTTAGCAATAGCTCATTTTTCACACCAGAATTTTCTATAGTTTTGTAAGGATTTTTCCTACAGTGAGTCCGAAATGATAAACTTCAGACTGGTTTAGTTGCCTAATTATGTGAAGATTTCAAAATGGTCACCAGAGTGGGGGCTAAGCTATGAGGACATTTTTGTTTCCAGGGTTGTTTTATTTGCATATTATTACTACCAGGGTACTTGATGTGGTTGTTGCCCAACAAAAAAATCATGAGTTTTGAATCATTAACCAACAACCTCGCTAAATTTCATGCTATATTTAGAATTAATCAGAAATGCAACTGTAAATTATGAATATGAAACTGTTCCATATGTTGATTATTTTGGTAAAACTGTGATTGGCTGATTATTTTACCATGTGACATATATGAACCAATAAGATACCTTTTCACACAAATTACCTACTTTCTATACTGTAAATCATTTCAATTTTGCAAGATATTTTGGTTTCACGAATACTATAAAATCATCAAATTGCTAAAATTAATCTGTTAACAATAATATGTAATTCCAACTAATAAAATTATCCATGTCAACATTCTCATACTTTTCTAACTGGAAAAACTTGAGGTTGACGTGATGACCATTCTGTTACCATACTTCACAGTTGAACCTTTGCATTTACTATCAATGAATTCACCTAGAGGCTTATTGTATAGAGTACTCAATTTAAACAGATTTCAGTCTGTAATTTATGGTTGATTTATTCACAGTCTCTCAGTTCCCAGATATGACATGTATTGAATAGTATGTCATGGGCCATTCACGATGCGTAAAGCTGATCGATACTGTAAAGGGGTTAATTATTTATCAGGTTTTAATTTTGCTTATTTCACTGACTGGAAAATGCGCTAAATTAAAACCCAGTGAATATGTAAAATTTAGCAAACAACACATTATCTAAATGCAAAAACTGAATTTAAAACTCACTGAATATGCCTGAAATGGTAAATCAGTGAAATTTAAACGTAAAGTTGATCATACTGTAAAAGGATTAATTATTCACTGGGTTTTAATTGGGCTTATTTTACTCACTGGAAAATGTGCTAAATTAAAACCCAGTGAATATGTAAAACTTAGCATAGAAAACATTATCTAAATGATAAAACTGTGAATTTAAAATCCACTGAATATGCCTGAAATGGTAAATCAGTGAAATTTAAACTCGGTGAAAATTAGTCATTTTACAGTCGTCTGTCATGGACCATTCACAATGCGTAAAGCTGATCATACTGTAAAAGGATTAATTATTCACTGGGTTTTAATTTTGTTTATTTCACTGACAGGAAAATGCGCTAAATTAAAACCAAGTGAATATGTAAAATTAAGCATAGAACACATTATCTAAATGATAAAACCTTTAATTTAAATGTCACTGAATATGCCTGGAATGGTAAATCAGCGAAATTTAAACCCAGTGAAAATTAGTCGTTTTACAGTAGTCTGTTGTTTATTTTAATATGTCTACTTTCTTTTTTTAGTTATCAATCTCAGTATCAAAACTTAAAGTTTTCATTTTCGTATAGTTTGATATATATAGAGAGCATTCAATTATTTCTTTGCATGTACATTGGATTACAATCGTACTCCTTCTTTGAAGCCAGGGACTGAAAGACAGTGGTTTATCAACTATACAAAATCTTGAATTATTTCTTGGTTGTATTTTTATTTTAAAACATTTTATATTTTCTGGTTATATTTTCTGGTTTCATGTTAAACCTACAATTGTCCAAGACACATGTATATATTGTTGTATTGTAAATTTTGTTTTTATTTTAGTTGTATATTGTTTTAAACCTTGTACATGTATATGTTAACTCCCACTTTACTTTCTTAAATAGATAAAAATACAGGTTACATCAATGAGAAAGATATAATAATCTCATTGAAAACATGTATTCATTGTGATGGTTTGCATTTCTGTATATTTGTATGTCAGTCAAACTAGTTAATGGACTTGGTAACTCAGAACATCCTGGACTCTTGTAACCATGGAAATGAGTGAGATTATCAGATATGGGATTCTACCCAAGAAGGCAACAAGACAGACTTGATGAATATAGTACATACTCTACGAATACAGAGCATGATGGTTATATTTCAGTTCACATGTTGATATTATATTTAAATTCTGTTATAGCCAGAAAATTGAGATTGACATATACAGAGTGTTGTCATGG